AATTGTCTCATAACTCGATCAGGCAAGTGAACCTCGACAACATGCTAACAAAAAATTAGAGCTGTAAGACTCCATATGTCTTGTCCAATGCGATAATAGTTGGGACGACTCTCAATTAAGTCATCAGAATATGGTTCCCAAATAAACTACATAAAAAAACAAATAATTCTCAACCACAATATACATGAAAAATAAAACAAAATTGATATAGCATCGTACTTGATACTCCATCATGGAATCAAGTGCATCCCTAAAAACTTCCAATGCATGCTTAGTAGTGTCAGTCAAACTAAAATGTGCAAACCATCTAGTAGCATGTGGACCCTAGGTAAATCAAAATATTTTTGGTGTTTTATTGTGCTATTACTTGGGGTCTGAGGACAGTAATTCTCTCTCATGCCCAAATCTAAACATAATATATATATGTATGATTAGGTAATTATAAACTAGAAGAAATATAAATAATTTATGTAGTTATTAAGTATACCTGGAGTTGTGGTAGAAATCCAACTATCTCATTTTGGATACTTTGTGAGGCCTTACAGAGAAAGCGATACAAGCATGTTAAAGTCACACTACCCCAACTATAAGACCCAATTGCATTAACGTCCTTAAGCATAAGAAGATATAGGATTTTTAAATAACTACGAGATGTATCTACCAAGAGTCATCCCAAAACATGTAACATTAGCTTTTTGATTTACCATATCTTGTGTTGCCATGTCAGGCAATCAGCCCTAGCATGTGCTGAAACCTTGAGGCTACTATGGTTGAAGTCTTGAGGATGTGGAATAAAACCTCAAAATCGAATCTTTGACATATGTTTTGCCAATCATCCATGGTCCTCGTCGGCTCATTACCAAGTACTGGATTACCATACTACATCTTGTAAGGTGATCGTTGCCTCACTCGTGCTAAAGTGAAACGTATGAGTCTCAACACAATATCTCGACCAATGAAGTGATCAACAATAGGTTGATGAGATCTATAAACACCATACAATTCAAATAATCTAATCACTTTTAAGACTCGTGGTTGAATATTTTAGTGCACAATTCCAAAACTTTCCATCACCCCTCGAATTTAGAATTATATTAATACCTCCATCCCCTAACCTATGAGTGAGTTGTTCAGTTAATAAAGATGGTTCAAGTGGATCGGTATCCCACTAGTATGCACTATAACTAGCCATAAAAGTGCTTATGAAATGAAAAATGCAGATGATAGTAAATTTAAACGTTAACTTGATGTTGGTCCAAGAACAAACAAAATTATTAAATAGAAAAACTCCTATTGCATAATATATGGGCCAAATGAGAGTACGCAAAGGTAAACAATATTTTAAACTAACTCCACACCAACTATTCATCAAACACATATCTATCGGCTTTTTGCTAAAGCCAATAACCAAAAGAGTTTAAGAGTGTAGCTAAAGTAATATAGCCATCAAAGAAGAAGAGGGCCTAAATGTTACAATTTTGACAATTTCAAAGTTCTATATGGATATATAAATAATAAATATAGTTAATCCCAAGTCCAAATAGAGAAAAGAATTATTATTAAAGGCGAAAAACCAATATAAAATCTAACGGTGGAGTATTTTACTAGAAAATCATAGCTTACATGTTAATTCATATAATGATTTGTGTTTATGCCACACTTGTATCTTCACCTTGTTGTAACTTTGTAGTGGGCAATAGGTGCATGTCTAGTCCTTCATTTATGGTTTTCTTTTGTGTAGTTAGTTGTTTTCATCTTTTGTCCACTCTTTTCTTTTGAGCAATTACAATATCAATAGAAAAATTGACATAAACGGTTGGTTCCACTTTTTTATTTGAAATTTTATTTCCTTCTTTGTAACTTTCAGTGTGTTCAAGGTGAAAAGGACTCGTCAAATCAATACTTTGATTGCAATGCCTAATATAAACTACAGGCTGCTATACACACTTTAATACAAGTCAACAACTTAGCCTACTGGAGAATGATAATAGGAATCATGCATCAACAAGTCATAATCTGCAAGGATTATGGTATTAAAGAAAATAAATCATGTCTTTGATATTAACTTATAAGGCTTAACTCAATCAACGTAGTGTAATGTGAGCTCACTCACTCCAATTAAACATTTAAGCAAACACCTTATGGGCATGACTTTGTAAGAAAAATACTTTACTAAGAACAAATTATATTATAACTCACCTCAAGTTTCTTCCTTTCTTTCTAGCAAGACTAAGTATGCTTGTGAACAATAATCAACGTACAACTCAATCAATATTTTAGTTAGGGTTGAACTTATATCAATACAAGCTCAAACAAAACCAAACACAGGGAGGCAGTAGAGTATGTTACTAGAAATTCAATTTTTCTTTTTCTTTACCACAATATGATCGCAGAAACAAAGACATGTTTTTCTCTAGATTAGGAAAATAACTACTTCGAACAAAAAATGACCTTAAATGTTGTAGTGATGCAAAAATTTGCGCCACCCAAAGCTATAATAACTTAAAGCATGGACCTCCTTAACCTTGTACAAATAGTGAAAAAAAGAAATTATCTTCTAAGGAAGCCATTAAAACCACAATCCTTAACCTTGTGGGAATATTGAAACCTAATCCAAGCATTTGTTCTACTATTTTGTAAAGAAAAAACGTATTTTAAGAACAGGAAAAATACTCGTTGTTCCAAGCTTTTCGAAAGACCTATGGCAATAACATCGTGAATCTTGTTTCGGCGCCGACGAGAATTGGGAACATAGTTGTATGAGTTGGGAGTGTTGTGCATCTAATTGGAAGATTTCATAAGCTAAGGGACTCGTTTGGTTTGAATACAAGTTATGATAGGATAAGTTATGCCGAGATTAGTTATGATGGGATTAGTTATCCTGGTATCATTTCTTATTTGACTGTTTGGTTTGTTGTACTAAAAATAATATCCATTGCATATTTCCTGAAAATAAGTTGTTTGTTTACATAAATACCCGCTACCTTATTTAGCTTTTTGTGTATATTTTTTGGTATAATTTTAATTGTTGTTTCACCTTATTTAGCTTTAATTATTTTTATGTATGAGTTCTCATGAATTTTCTTTGTGTTCAACTATGTGCCAAGAAGTTGTAATACTCCACTCTTAAAAAGATTGGTTATAAAGATTGGTTCCTTCTTTTCTGAAAGAATTGTTTTTTTGTTAGAACATTTTTTTATGCCTTTAATTTAGATTAAGACAGCCATTGTCTAATGAAATACTCATTAGCCTTTAAAACTTTCCATTAATTTTAATGATAGTCATAGTGTACATTGTTGAGCCAATACGGTTGTTGGTAAACACCATTTAGCTGGAAGAAAGAATAAGTAGTGTATGTTGTTAAGAGGGGTTTTTTTATTTTTATTTTTGGGTTGGGGAGGGAGGGGAGGGGAAGGTTATGAGCTGCTCTATAGATTAAATTGCTTCTTGTAATGAAATAAATAAATATATATATATATATATATATGAAATGAGATAGGAGTAATATAAAGTAAATGATTTAAAGGTTAATGTTGTCATTTAATAAGTTTATCCCATGACAAATTGTGATGGGATTTTTATACCACCCAAGAGAAGGGATAACTTATTCCGGTACTAATTATTAATCCCAGAATAAGTTATTCCGGACTTGCCAACCAAACAACTAATTAAGGGACACTATAATTTAATTCCATGACTATTTAGTGTTGTCCCTCACACCAAACGACCCCCAAGGGTTTTAGATAGGTAGAGGTAATGGAAACAACATTGTTCCTTTAGGTGGGGATAAATATTAGATGTGGGCCTAGATTACGTGTTACGCTTAAAACATTACTACCAATAATGCACGTATCTTTGGTTAATGCCTTCAGCTCCCGTTATACTTCAATCTGCTAAATTTTTTTGAATAAAATAATGCCTAAATCGTTGCTGCCAAATACGTTTGTTCTAGTTTTTAAAAATTTCATAAAACGTATTATTTTGGTGAATTGATTTAAATAATGGTTTATTTCGGTCAAAATTGGCCCCTCTAGTCCTAACCTTTACTAACCAAAAGCCGACAACTGGCGGAATTGCTTTCCCTTGTTTCCACAAACCAAGTGACCCCTAAAGGCAAGTAGGACTACATAGATAAGCAATGCCCACAACGAGCTGGAGTCTTAAAAAAATAAATAGAAGTAGAACATAACTGGAGTAAAAACTTCAACTATTAAAATTGGGGTTAGAAGTATGCAGTTGCGCTTCCTCTTTTTTGGGAGGGCGGAGCAACCAATAGTGTTATGCTTCATTTTGGTTCTTCTTTATTTGATTCATTCGGATTAAAATTCGGTAATATAGAGCAAACTAGCATGAATGTCATCTTTTGCTTAATAATATTGATACAAGTTAGCAAAAGGAGCTAATGTGGCAAATTTGGTTAAGCATGCCCAAGAGTTAGTTAGAAGCGATTAGCACTGTTAGGTGGTTAAATTCTTTTATTACTGTAGCATGGGGTTTTAACATTCTCTAGCCAGGTTATAAGTATTAGATTATTGGAGTTCATTCATTGATTGATAATAAAGACTGTTCTCTTCTCTCTGTCTTCTTTCTCTTTAGCTAAGTTCTCAGAATTTACCCGAGGCTGTTCATATTCCTTGAGATTACTCCTGGAATTAGTTTATTCTCCATAATTGCATCAAATATACTCTACCAATAGGAGCAAATATTTTATTAACACATTGTTAAACTTGTCTGCTAATTGTCTTCCCTTTGAGGCCCTTCAGTCTTGACAAGATCAAGTGCCTTATCATGAAGCTGCTGCTACTGTATAATCTGTATTCTGAGAACTCTGCCTACTGTCTAATCTGTAATAAGTTTTTTATGCCTTTCATATGTTGTTGTGGATTAATATGGACCTACCTTTGTCCTTCAGTTGCAAAAAAAAGGATATCACCATACCCAAATACGATTTCTACTCTTTGAGGTGAACTATTAACTCTAGTGTTTCTTGATATTGGCAGGACCACTGTAGTCCCGTTATGACAGCATACAAACTGGTGACTGTAGATGCTCCATACTGGGGGTTTGGGAGCAGATTGGAACAGGCTTTGATGGCGGTATAAATCTGGATACTGCATTGAATAATTTATATTGTCTGCTTGAAATGATTCCCGAGCATTATACTTTTTAGGAACTTTAACACTATATTGTTCATAATTTTTGGGACACATTTCACCAATATGGACTGATCTAAAGAGTTAGTGACATGTAAAGTTTTTCATGACATTAAATTATTTGCTACATCCTCAAAAGGAGGAAAGACTATGTTCTTTGAAATCTATGCTTGCAAATAGCAAGTGGTTTCTCTAATTATATATATTGATGCTGCCAAAGCTGTTTTCCTCTTCAAAACTGATGTCTTTGATCTCTCAAGTTCTGAGCTTTGTATTGCTGGTCGTACATGAGGAATTTCCTCAGAGGAAGGTTAAATAATGTGTTGAAATCTAGTAGCAATGCTTAGTTTTCAGATTTGAATGATCTATAGTGCATTTGATGGTTGTTTAGTGAAAGATCGTCCAAGTTTTTGTCCCTATTGAGTTAAAGAGAACAATTAATTGTTTAACTGAATCTGTTATGTGAATAACTGTTCTTTTTTTGTTTTCACAGTTTCTTATGAAGATGTTGAAGTTCCCTTTTTTTAATGATCCCCATCATCATGAACCAATTGCAAATTAAATATGACTTTGCTCGTTTTCCTCTTGTTTCTTTTCTTAGGGGGAAAGGTCACTTTTCCTAGAAAGTCATCGTAATTGCTTCACCTGGATTGACGAATGGTTTGGGTTGACAGTGGAGGTGTTGCGTGAGTTGGAGCGACAAAGTGATTATTCATTGAATATGGTAAAGCAGATCTATACATATATATTCTCTTCTCCTGAGTAATTTCATCACCTCACTGCCAAACTTTTGTTTGTGACTTGACAAATAGGTTTGATCTTTGAGATGCTCAAGTTTTGTTGACTTAATAACTTGTTTTTTATGCTTCCATATCTGCTGTCAGATCTTTATTTCTTTGTTTATTACTCTTCCCTGTTTTCAGTTTATATTAATAGCCACTTTCCCTTGAGTTAGGGCCATGACGTGATAAATCCCATCAACAGCCTCCTATTTTGGTTAGAGTAACTATGTTTCTTGTATATTTTATCGCTGGTATCATCTCAGTTGATAAGATTGTTCTGTCCATACTTTCAGAGATGACGAAACGGACGAATTGAGGGATTACAGTTCCCCTTTGAAGATTTATGTAGTTTCATCTCACCCGTTCCCGCAATAAAACTTGCACAATTAAGAATAGTTCTTCTGGAAAGCATCAGATAATTGGGGAAAGTATATAGATCTCTCTTCCTCTGTGCATATCTGTGATGGTAAATCTCCATAAAAAAGGGACAACTTTCGTGTAGTTTGTGATAAGTTAGGATTATCTAGATAGTGAAGGAAGTTGTATCAGACATTGTAGTTGATTCTCAGAAGATTGCTCTATACCTCTTGTAAGTCCTTCCAGACGAGGAATGGGTTTGAGCGTGTTTTCAGGTGTTAATAATCTTTAAGAAGCTAGGATAAGGTTGAAATTCTCGGTCCACTCCTACTGAGCCTAAGACAAAAAAAAAAAAAAAAAAAAACAAGGTGTATGTAACCCTTGTAAATTTATGTGGGATGGTGTTATATTAATCTTTTTAATGCCATGGGCCATTCCATCTGTTCAGTAGCAAACATACAGTTTTCTACAATTGGGTTGGTTCAGCCAGTAAAATCATAAGGGGGCTAAGTAAAGGGGTCTTCTTTTGGCTCTTCCTACTATTTTCCCCGTTGGCCATTGGTTTTTCCCCCTCTTAATTTTATGTAGTAGCAGAACAATGTAGTTTTGGAATCACGTTTCTTTTAAACGATAAGTATGTGTGTTGCAGATTATTTTTTTGTTGTAGGTCGAACTTTTTTACTTAACAATTGCGTTTTATAATCTAGCTGCAAATTAGAAATATAATTAGTCAAATATGTGTTAATCTGAATCACCAAGATTGAGCAGTGTCACAAGTATGGATAATCTAAATGCTTTCTGACTGGAAGTTTGAGAGCTGATAGTTGCTATGACATAGGTGGGGTATGGGGAGTGTAGAATGTACGAATAACTTACCATTAATTCGTGGCGGTAGAGAGCTGAAAGTTGTTATGACCCTTGCTTTATTTTATTAGATTTATAACAGTGCACATATGCATTTATTAGTTCATATTTTGACCAAAGAAATGATAGTTATAGACAGAAATCTTTATGCTGAAGGTTTCTAACTTCAAACAGTTTGGTAGAACAGTTCAGTATACCAAGTTTAATTTAATCTTTGTATATAAAATACAAAAGTAGCGGGAAGTTGGCAAATTGATGATACAAAAAACCATAGTATGTACTGTACCGGGTATTTTCTTGACACCTCAGTGTTACCTGTATAGCCAGTTGAGAGCTTTGTCATTTTGATTAGAGAACCTGCATTTTTCAAGTTAAACATAAATTTTATGTGTTGCCCTGGAGTTGATGTTTTGTGACTGACAAGATTTTGTTGGCAGAAACTTGGCCGGCCTTGCTTGGCCGGCCTTGCTTGGCCGAGAGTTGGATGACACAAGAGGAATCTCCACTTGAAGGCGAAAAGTCTGTTGCATGAATGCACTGTTCATATCTATGTTTAGCAGCTCTTGGTATGGTTTTCAGATTCATATACATGGAATGGGTCGCAAATCGCAATAGAAGATTATTGGCTTTACAGTGCAGTTTGCTGCAACAATACATATGCTGTCAGCTTGTACATGAAAAGGCAGGAAAAGATGTTGATATTATTCACAATCAGCAAGGTTTTGTTTTCTGATGCTTCTATTCTTTAGAGGTAAGATTAGGTAATAATGAAAGTTATGTAGAACTGAAGACACATTTTAGTGAAGGTAGTTTAGCTTATTGATCATAAAGGCATGAAGTGTATATGATGATAGTTTAAAAGAATTACAATTGTATTTTCGTGTACATTTTTTGGATTCATTTTTAGGGATCTTTGAGTTTTACTTCTTGCACTTTAATTTGTTTGTCTTACTATTTACAGTTTCAATTTATTTTTGGCATTTTTATGATTCTAATTTTGATACCAATGTTTAAAACTTACAATGATGTCCCAATTCCAGGATATTATGTATTAAAGCAGGTAGATTAAATGATATTTTGATACATTTTACATATTTCTAGTTTAAAATTTAATTTTTATCATTTACTTTATTAACATTTTATCAAATTAAAATCAGACAAATAAAGACTCTTCTCGCTGTATTAAATGCTTAATGCTAAGCATTTTTTTCTGGCAACTTACAAAAAAAAGGACTCCATTGCTAAAAAAAATTTATGATCTTTGATATTTGAATTTGTATGAATGAATTTTTTGGCTGCAACATGTTCAAGAGTACCAGAATTAATAGTGACAATTTTATTGAAGTATTTAGTTGAAAGAAATTTGAGATTTGAGAAGTATTAAAACTAAAAATAGAGCACAACTGAGCAAACAGAAGCACCAAAACTAAAAATAAAAGAACAGTTGAGCAAACAGAAGTAGGGTTGTTTATCGGGTGAACCAGACAGATAATTATACTTAACGGTTTGATTTAATGAATATCGATTCTCAAATATATTAATATGCTAGCCTATTAATAAGATATCAGTTGGTTTGGTATCGTGTTGGTAATTATCAGATGGTTAACGAGTGGTGTATTTGCTCAATTATTTCATGCTTTCTTTTTTTCACTTTTATTCACCAATATTGATATATCTTCTATCGAACAAAATAATTTTTCTAACTCTACTTAAGCTAGTAATTTTGTAGTGTGAATCACAATAAGGAATATATGAAAATTTAAATTTTGAGGGTGTATAAACATTTGTTTAACATATATTCACATGTACAACAACTTAATATATTCACAAGACTAAAATATAATATACATTTTTATAAACGAGAAGTGAAGACTCGAACAATATGATTCAAACTAGCTAGCTAGTTGACCAGTAAGAAATTCAACTCACAAATATGCATCAAGTCATATAAGGAGCGGCAAAATATTAAATGGGCCTTTAGGGTTAATAATTGGGAAAATTATGCGGTTAAGCAAACATATAGAGTACTAGTTAATTAGTTAACATAGCTATAGTTTGAATTAATTACGGCTCGCAGCTTAATTTTAGCTGTAATGTGCGCCTCTATCCCCTCTCTCGTATACACACACACACACACACAATCATATGACATATATACAAATGCAATCGCCTCTCTCCACTATTTGCACTCTTACACTCGCCTCTCTCCTCCATCTCCCAATCTTGCTCGCCAAATATACAAATACATATGTATACCAGTTTCATAGATACATATACAGTTCGATAGATATACATATACAACTCGCCTCTCTCCACTCTCTGCCCTCTCGTGCTCACCTCTCTTCTCCCTCTCCCAATCTCGCTCGCCTCTCTTCTCCCTCTAACATGTAGCTACAAATTGTAGTTAGCAAACTATAGATGTGGAGCATAAATTAAAATTATTTTAGTGGCTATCTGTGAAAGTTCCCCCTTAATAATATGTATTTTATATACCAAGGGGTAAAATGTAAGTAAATAATTCTTTACGGGTTAACGACTTATCCCATTAATGAATTTGAATAATCCTCCCCTACACCAATAAACTGATAAGTATAAAATTTAATCTATTCCCCAACTATTAATTCAATAAGTCAATTTTACAGTTGACTTATCGGTTACAGTTCAATTTTTAATAGAAGCATCAAAGATTTATTCTTTACTCTTTAGGGTTAATTATTGTAATATAATAATTAATACAATTGAAAACTAAATGGGCTTTACCGCTTTTAGGGGTCGTTTGGTTTGAAAACAAGTTATGATGGGATAAGTTATGCTGAGGTTGTCTTTTATTGAGTATTTGGTTTGTTGTATTCAAAATAATATGTATTGCATAAATTTTAAGAACAAGTTGTTTGTTTACAAAATTTACCCTTCACTTTATTTAGTTTTTTGTAGTTTCTTTGCAAGCTTTAATTATTCATTTTTAAAAAAATAAAACTTGCATCTTATTTAGTTTAAATATTTTTGTGTGTGTTCCACTATGGTACCGTATGTATTGAAAAATAATCTTTTTTCTTATTTAGCTTAAAAATAGAATTTTCATCTTAATAGTCAACTATACTCATAAATAAAAACTATATTTATATAGTGTAATTTTTAGTAGAAACATATGAAAAATTATCATAAAAATAAGAAGTAGTGAATATTATTATACATGATATTAAAAATAATGTTGGAGGAGGGGGTGGGGGATCAGGAGGACATGTGCTAATATTTTTGTTTATGCATTCTCATGGTAAGTACCATATGTATTTAAAAATAAAACTTTTTTCTTATTTAGCTTAAAAATAGAATTTCCCTCTTTAAGTTTTATTAAAGTGAAAGAAGATTTATGGGAAATCAAAATATAAATAAACATAAGAATTAGTCAAATAAATTCATAAATAAAAATTATATTTATATAGTGTAATTTTTTAATAGAAAAATATAAATAATTATCATAAAAATAAGAAGTAATGAATATTAGTATACATGATATTAAAAATAATGTAAATATACATAAATGTGAAAAATGATATATACAAAGGGTTTAAAGGGATATAGTTGTCATTTTCCTATTCTATCCCGGGATAAATTATCCCGGTATTACTATACCACCAAATGGGAGGGATGACTTATCCCGGTACTAATTCCTAATCCCGGGATAAGTTATCCCAAACTTTCCAACCAAACAAGGAAATAAAGGGTACTTAAAATTTATCCCGGGATTAACTCTCCCTATCCCTCACACCAAACGACCCCTTAGGGACTAACTGACTAAGGTTAACAATAATATATTATGATAGAATATTAAATGAGGTTTATGGGTTAAATCATAATATAATATATATTTTATAATTTATATACTTAGGGATAAAAGTGTAAGTATGGTGACTCTTAACGGGTTAATGATTTATCCGATAAGGAAATTGAGTAATTCGCCTTTGCACTGATAATTTATTAGATATAAAATTTTAATATGTTCCCCAACGTTTATCCGATAATTCAAATACCAATAAGCCAATTTTATGGTTGGTTTATCGGTTATTGATCAATTTTAAACAACCCTAATTTGAAATAATCTTCAAGTATTGTTTCAATTTTTAGTTAAATTTTATTTTATTTTATTTTAATCTATTTTGATATATGTTATTTAAGTTGTGGATCTTCCGAAGATGGTCTCTTTACCTTCAAAAAGTGGATAAGGTTTACACACCATTATTCTCGAACCTCACTAGTAAAATTACATTTAGTATGTCGTTGTTCTTTAGCCAAAATCGATACGTAGTCTAATTTCATGTCAAAGTTTTTAATCCTACCTTGAAGTTTCAGAGCTTCTGTCATTGTATATTTATTGACACGATTCAATTTATTTTAAGTTAACTCAACTTAAATTCATTAAACACCAAAAGATACGAATAAATTTAAAAGTAGGTATATGTCATAAAATATAAGTTTAAATTTGAAATTAGAATAATAATAAATCAAGTCTTAGAAAAAGTAATCCAAATGAATCTACAAATAAAGAAATAAAAGGGTAAATTTCATAAATATATAATAAAACAATTTTATTTGCCCCAAATATAGTCAAGGTTTCATTTACATAAATAATAGCCCAAATTAGTGATGTATGTATAAGCAACAAAAAATATTTTCAACAAAATAACCATACGTATATGTATGTATCAATAATCGATACGTATATATAATGAATTGATATTATATAACTACTATATACTCATGTATCAATAATGTATAACTATATATAAAAGTCGTATATACATCTATATACATTATTGATACACTAAAATATACATTGCAAATCCTTCTTTTTTCAATTCCAACTATCTCTAATCTTCTTTAAATAATTCAAAAATTTAGATATGAGCTTAATTCAATGTTTTAAGTTTTTTGATATATTATTTATTCAAAATGATTTATTTGTGGCGCATCAATTTTCAAAGTCGATTTTTGAACATTGAAGAAGGAGGAGGAGTAGAAAAGAGGAGGAGGAGGAAACCAACGAAGAAATAAGGAAGAAGAAGAAGTCATTAATGACTGAAAGAAAAGATCATTAATGACAAATTAAAGTGCCTAAGGGAAATTATGATAAGAATCTCATAGTTGTGCTTTCAGATTTGTTTGTCTAAAATAATTAGCTGGTATACAAGTTTTTGATCAAGTCTTTACAATACAAAACATCTATCCAAAACTTTAAATGGTGGCAAAGATTGCCCCATTTTGAATGGTTCAAGGGCAAAGTATTTTTCTTATTCTGGAGAAACCCTGGGTGATATTCTTGAGTTATTTGATTAGTGGCATAATACATAAATATGTTTTTTAACTCAGCTTCAAGTGACATCTATGCTCTTCAATTTTGGGTGTGCTCAAGTAGGCATTAAACTTGTATAAAATTGAATAAATAGATACATGTGTCCTACGTGGCATAATACACGTAGGACTCTACATAGGACACAAAATTGTCATGTAAGACACCACGTAGGACAAATGTGTATATGTTCAATTTTATATAAGTTTAAGTGTTTATTCGTGCACACACAAAGTTAAAAGACATAGATGTCAGTTGAGGCCAAGTTAAATAACATATTTATGTATTATATATGCCTTGATTAGTTGAAGAATCTTTTTGAGCAAAAAATGTAATATCGAGAGATTTTTGAACAAAAAAATGATGAAAAGTGCACCAAAAGGTATGATTTAGTGATCAATGAAGTTGGGCATCACAAGGCTTTCTCAGGTTCAAATCCCACAAAGATAAAATAATAGGAATTTTTTTCCATCTGTGCTAGCTTTGGTGGATAGAGTTATTAGTCAGAATGCACACAAGCTGATTCGGACACCACATTTATAAAGTAGAATTGACCTATTTCAATTTTTATTTTTTTTGGAG